TGCTGCCTGCATCTCAGTCCCTCCGCAGCCACGGGGCTCCTGGGGGAGCGGGGCTGCGAGCGTGGGGGGTCACGGACCATCATTCGATCCTGCCGGAGAAGCTGCAGGAAGGGCAGCCAAAGGGAACAGTCTTGAATAAACTGAGCTAGAGCCATGCATTTTTGTTTGGTTCTTTTTTCTTTTTTTTGGTTGGATTTCATTTGTACTTCATTTGTGTGTCACTCTGGATGATACAAAACTACTGTTTGCCAATGGATTTGACCTTTTAACTGTGATTGGTTTCAATAAATGGGAAATTCAGAGTTTGCACTGATTTATTTTAATGCTGTAAAGCCGTACCTTTGCTTCTCCTCCCTCCATTCCGCTACGTTTCTTTTCTCCAGCTTAATTGTTCCTGGCTTGTCAAAGGTCCTGCCTCTCAACCAGGAAGGCAGCCTCTTTGGGGAAGAAAAAAAAGGGGAAAAAAAGCCAAAGAAAGGCAGCTTTGCAGTGCCTCATCCGGGCACCCGTGAGTGTGTTTTAGTGTTCACTGGGTTTGCTGCAGCCGACCCGCTCACCCCCAGGTCCAGTGCCTGACACTGGTCCATGCCTTAGGACTCAGAAAAAAGCAACCGCAAGAAATCCCTGGGGAAAAAAAAGCAGCTCTGCCTGCACGGACCTGGGGGTGCGGGTACTGCGGTCGCACACGGGGTGTACACAGACAGACAGACAGACAGACACACACACACACACACGAGTGCTGTCCCTGGTTCGGCTCAGCCCCGCGGGGGGCTGCGACCGCAGCCCCGGGGCCAGCCGCAGGGGGGATGCTCTTTTGGGGCAGCCCAGAGTGCTGCTGTCCCAGAGGATGGGGATGGGAAGGGGGACCTGACCTTCCCCGGGATCTGCGGAGATGAGCCGGGTCTCTCCAAGCACAGGGGAAATTTGGGGTTATGGCCCTCAGCGGGAAAAGCGAGGGGTGTCAGGACCCTCTTTTTAAAACCAGCGGGTGAGAGCTGTCCCTGCCAGGGAACAGCTGGGAGGAGGAACGGGCAGGGAGAGGGAAGGGACCTGCCCACGGCCGGGAACAAGAGCCCTGCGGCCGGTGTCTCCTTCCCAGTGCCACCAGGGGAAAGGCTGGGCGATTTCCCACCGCT